ATATATAGTTTCAACATCAAAACATAGCCCATGTATCAAACATCTAGCAGTCCATCAATGTAACAGAACACATAGGGTATTAAAAGATCCAATGCATACATAGTTTCACGGAGTTCATCCATATATACATATATATTTTCACATTGTTCAAAATAATTTGCTACCCATGGTGGTAGCTACGCATGCATGCAACGGCCGACACATGGCCCTGACACACATATACTTACTTGGTGGCTATTGACACAACGTAGAATGTGTCACACATATGTCAGAATGGGTACAACCTAGCGACCAGAGTAACAAATTGAGCCCACAAGCCTAGCTAGACGCAAGGCCCAAACCATCTCCCATCCAGGATGCTCAAACCCACCATCTTAGCAGGCCAGGCCCATTAATCAAACAAGCACCCAACATCTGAGAGGCTGATGCTATAAATAAGCATGCGACCCCAAGACGTAAGTCATACCTAGCACACCATTCCTCAAAATAGAAAAAATAGCACACCAAGAACACAATGGGTACAAACAAGCAGTTGAAGAGTAGCAACCAAAGCTTCAGCTCCACCACCGCCTTGATAGGCTCGGCATCATTCGCCACACCGAGCTTGCCGGAGCAGTGGAGCGAAGCCCCACCCACACTGTTGTGTGAGTGCACTCTGCCGGCTACTGTCTTCACCGCAAACACGCCGAATAATCATGCTCATTGCTTCCTCAAATGCGGAAACCCATTGAGGCAGATGGTCAGATGCCAATGCTACAGGGGGTTCAGGTGTGCATTTATCATGTTCGCTAAAAAGCTCTCCAATTTTCCCACCTATTACACCATATAATCCCACTCCCAACACATGGTTGCTTCCTCTGGATCTGGCGAGATCTACTCGAGAAGTATGCGAGCTCAATGGTGGCTTACAAGAGCAAACAAAAGGCAATACAACAAAGAGAGGCTGCAGAAGCCGTGGAGCAACTACAGTGCAGAGTAGAGGAAGAGTGGGCCTTGACACAAATCGAGCTCATAGAGGCCAGGAACAAAATAGCATCACTTGAAGAGTCCAGCGCCACTATGGCACACCGTATAAATGAAGCAAAGAAAAGCATCCGAAAAACAAGGATGTTTTGTGCATTTTTTATGTTCCTAGTTGTAGCTAGGCTAGTCCTATCTCCTACCTGACTTGTAACCCCGAAGAGATCCTGATGTTTACCAACTTCTTTCGAACAAAAAGGGCACCGAGGCACTTTCTTTTTAATTTTTGTGTTCGCCCCTTTTTTTGTTTTAGCACTCATGAACGACAGCAAACCACACGGCGCAGCCTAAA